TTATAATTTATAATTACAGGTAAATACTAAATAACTATAGAACACTATAATAATTTTGTGCTGTGAAAATAAATAGGAATAATAAATTATTGCTGTATTGCTGTTTATTCAAAACAACACTATTAAAATATTCTTTAATTTATGACCCTACCAAAAACTAATGCGCCCATGATTGTATAGGTTTTCCGAGAGCAACCGGTACCTAACCGTGAACCACCAGTTCAAGCAGAAATTGATGGCGCTGATGTACACGGCGACGTAGAAATCATCGAGGTGGACCAAGTCCTGATGAACGTCGGTAATTTTGAGGTGATTGGAGTTCAAATGAACGACGAAAACGTCGAAATTATCGAAGTTCAGATGGACGACTTCAAAGAAGTTTCAGACCAAGTTGAGGTTGTGGTCCCAGACCGCGAGGCGAAACTTGAAATCGACGTTTTACTCCAAGGCGTCGATGAAGACGTCAGTAAATTTCTCTTCATATTCGTATTGATGAAAAATAAAATGTATTACAATTCTGTGATCTCAATTGCAGTTTGAACCAATTCCTCCACCTGGTGTTCCACCGAACAGCCTAGGGTGCGTCCACCAATGGTAGATCGTCCGGTTGACGTTCAACACCAACTTCCAGATCAGCATTGCATTGGCGCTTTGAATGCAATCTGTAGGCATTGCAGTAACAGTCACTTTGAGTGTGAGCGTACTACAACTGGTCATTTCTCTATATGTTGTAATAACGGTCAAATGACCATTACAGGACAGAGGGATTTGCAACCCGCGCCTGTGTTTCTAATGAATTTGTTGACTTTTGATTCTAGAGAAGCCAGAAGCTTCAGAGCTGAAATTCGACGGTATAACAACTGTTTGGCATTCGCTGTGTTCTCCAGTGACTTTAACCCCAGGCGTTTGCCAGGTCGTGGGCCGAGGGTATTTTATGCTCACGGACAGGCGTATTACAGGACTAACAATGACGTCGCTGCAAACGTAGACAGGCAACCGAGATACTGTGAGTTGTATTTTGTGAGTTCTGCGCAAGCGAACCTGGCACGCTTGCAACAGAATCCAGACCGCCTATTGGACGGTCTGCTTTCAGAGCTGGACCAGCTGCTTCGGGATATCAATCCATACGCCCAGGCATTTCAGTAAGTCATTAAAGTTGTTAACTCATTATGTTGTACTCATTGACACTGAACTACAATAAACACTCAGCTTACAGTTCATTATTGTTTACATATTACTTCTATGTTTTGGTTTCTATCACAATATGACATATCAGCATTTCTTAAATTCTAATTTAGCAAACTAGGTATTCAACTTATAAACTGATTAAATATTACTATTGAAATATGTGCTTAGGAATAGTAAATAATTTGTATGCACAACTTGATATGTTCAACATAATTTTTACAAACTGTTCACTGATATTTCTTTAATTTTGAATTCAGATTGGTGTTATGTTCAACACAAATAGTATACAATAAATAAAAAGTTGACAGTTCATATTTCACAATTCAAGAATCTTTACACTACCCGTCTACATAATAATATAATATAATGTTACAACAATTTAAACTGTACATTAACGCCAAGCCACCCATAGGTTGTAAAATACTCATCAATATACAATATGTAAATGATAACTGATTTTTGCAAACGTTTTTTAAATTTATTATTAACGGGTCATTATATCTTAGAATTTCACAAATAGAACAAATTGGTAAAGTAATTTACATTATATTTCTATTTCAATAACATTTCAACAGTATTTACCAGTATAATGAGTAATAACAATTTACAGCATACCATGTATAATTTCAATTAATACTTTCTTACTTAAAATTTTTGATACGGTTATCAAAATTAATTTGTCATAATTCAGAATTTGTAAACACTACATATTACACTTAACTATCATTTATTTAATTCATACAATTAAAACTAATAAATGATAGCATATATTTAAAATGTAAAATGACCATGCCTTACCATCTTGATATATTATGACATAATGTTTTTTCCTTCATCTATTACAAGCGGTTCTGTATATTATGCACTACTGCAATAGAACATAGTACATTATGCAAAAAAAATTTCATAAACTAAATGATGCACTACTATATGACTTTATTGTTCCTATACATTATCTTCCCCCTTGCTTAGAATGTGTTTGGTTAACTTGAAATAAATATTTACAGCAACATGAGTCAATTGTGTTCAGATGAAGAAGCCCGGAGTAGAAATGATCCCACAGTGGCACCCAGGGAGGTCAATATGCATTTCGTTACCGATGCAGCCAGAGACCAAAGGCGATATGGTCTACCCACCGCAGATGAAGTTGCGGCTGTCTTTGTCGGTGACTGTGGGCGACCACCCAGAGACATCAATCTGGTCGTCTACGACAGAAACCCAATTTACCCTCAACACCGGATGCAGAAATTACCTGCAAACTCATGTCATGCTGATCCAATGATCTATCCAGTGTTGTTTCCATACGGTGAAGCCGGTTGGCATACCAACAGGGCAACCGCGTCAACGCCGTCCGCGTACGGAACACTATCAGAGAGTACGGTTGTTATCGAATGGCTATTCGATATCAAGGAAACAACGACTTGCGTAATGACCGGTTCAGCATATTACACAGAGGTGGATTTTTGTTACAACAATACGTGTGTGATCTTTATGTTCGAATGGAATCAAACAATCTAAATTACATTCGTCAGAATCAGGGTACGCTCCTTGCAGACGCATATCAAGGCCTTGTGGACTACGTCAATCAACAGCTACACGTGGATGCACCTGACCCCTTGGCCGTCGGCCGTAGGGTCATTTTACCGTCAACGTTCGTTGGAAGTCCGCGTTACATGAAACAGTGTTACCACGACGCTATGGCCGTTGTGAGAAAATACGGTAAGCCTGACCTGTTCATTACTTTTACATGCAATCCTAGATGGCCAGAGATCAGGGATAACCTAGGGACGCACACTTCGGCTAATGACAGGCCTGACATGGTGGCCCGGGTGTTCCACGCTAAACTTAAGGACCTCATGCGTGACATAACGGTTAATAGGATTTTTGGAAATGTAAATGCTTATATATACACTGTTGAATTTCAGAAACGCGGTCTACCTCACGCACACATACTGATCATCCTTAGGGACGACAGTAAGTTGCTTGACGCCGAGGACGTCGACAACGTTGTGAGTGCCTCCTTACCAGACCCGACGATTAATCGGCGTCTGCATGACTGCGTTGTGTCTCACATGATTCACGGACCTTGTGGACCAATAAACCTCAACAGTCCATGTATGGTGGATAACAGTTGTTCAAAAAAGTATCCAAAACCATACAGTGATGAGACAGTGTTCGTCTCAGATGGTGGCTATCCCATGTACCGTCGTCCAAACGATGGTCGGGTGATCCTTGTCAGACAACGAGAGGTTGGTAATGAGTTTGTCGTTCCACACAATCCGTATCTGCTTGCCAAATATGACGCACACATCAATGTTGAGGTGTGCTCTACCATTAAGAGCGTTAAGTACCTTTATAAATATGTCTTTAAGGGTCACGACGCTGCTACATTGGCTATACAAGAAGGCGATGAGTTGTTAAGGTAAGCACATTCAATAATTTCTTCTTTTCACACGCAGAGTCTTAATAGCATTATTGTTTGCGTTAATAAACATAATAATTATACTATAAATTAATAATTACATAAACTATACCCACTTGACAGTGTACATAATACATGATCATAACCTTTGCATTTAGATTTTTTTTTAACCGTCAAACCATTTTTAAATCATACTGTGAATTGATTATATACGATTCCAATATTTAACCTTTATTATGTGTTTACACTTAGCCTTTTAACTACATAATAATATTTTCTGCATTTCTTTCAATTGCACATCACGCATTTTTATGTTCTCGCAGTAGGTGTAGATAAATACATTCATTGACTTCTTTCACATGACATACAAACAATTTTACAGACTTGATTAATGTACATATTATAGTAGTAGGTATGTATGTTTAAACTCAGCAAACTATTTCATTTTTACTCTTAAACTGTGGTGCCATTCAAATCCATTTTAATATGAATAGTTATAGTTTATAATTTTTGCACGATTATTTTTAACTCATTATTATTGTTTTAATTTCATATTGGTGTAGAGTTACACACACAGTTAGTGGCAAACATTTGTTTTAAATATACAAACTGAATTAAAATTGATATGTGACTATGAAATTAACAAATCATATGCATTAAACGAGTATGCCTCATTTACTTATGACAATAAGTCATTTAACACATGACATTGTTACTATTTCAATGTGGATAAGTAGGTATAGATTTTATTTCAAACTATAACTGTCATCCATTTCACGTTAAACCCATACCGATGCAGTGTTTCACGCAGACAACAAATTGATGTAATAAAAAATAAATAACTGCAATACATGCATATTTTGATAACATTTCAACAGTCTTTATCATGTTGACCTATATAGAATTTTTTTTTAAACATACACTACACTGTATAATTCTACTCATTTTAATTTATACTTTCTTTGTGCAGTTGACGTACACTTACTTCAAGCCTGGGTATAATTAATAATTTTAACTAATGTTCATTGTCGTTTATTTCATTCATGCGGTCAGTACCTATCAATGAGTGACACAGTTCTCTATTAAGACTTTGTTATTTTGTTACGTTTTCATTGTATTACATTGAGTTCATTTTGGTTTCAGTTACGTCAACTCGCGATACGTCAGTCCGCCTGAAGGCATTTGGCGGATGTTTTCTTATGAAATGCATAAGAGAAGTCACACTATTGTAAGACTTCCAGTCCACCTGGAAGATCTTCATACTGTGTACTTTGCTCCTGGACGTGCTGAAGAACGGTTACACAACGCTAACCAGCGCCGTACAAAACTAACGGAGTTCTTTGCGCTCAACACAAACGACGTGGGAGCAAGACAGTACCTGTACCACGAGATACCGGTACATTATACTTGGAACCAAGCAAACAGGACATGGTCGCGGAGACAAAGACGCAAGGCCAACGAAACGTTAGCTCGGATGTACGCCGTTAGCCTGATGGATCAGCACCGATTCCACCTGCGACTGTTACTTCTGCACCGGAGAGGCCCACAGTCTTTGCGAAACATAAGAATGGTCAACGGGATCGTGCACGAGACATACGGGGCTGCGGCAATCGAGCTGGGTCTCATAGAGGACGACCGAGCGTGGCATGCGTGCATGGAAGAGTCTGCGGCGTTGGACACCCCTGAGCAGCTTCGGTATCTCTTTGTCACCATACTGGCGCACTGTCATCCAGCGGAAACGCTGAGGCTCTGCACGAGCTACGAGGATTGCATGATGGAAGACTTCAATCGCCGTTTGCAAGTCGTCGATCGCGCAAGCGCGGCGACTCTCGACGCAATTGAAGGCCTACTTCGAGTACACGGAAAAACGCTCGACGACTACGGTTTGCCCAACCCTGATGTCCGTCTACTAGAACCAGAGCAGGACGATCAACTGTTCCGTGTCGTAGACGCGGCGGCTCGGTGGGCACAACAAGTGGCCGACATGAATAACGAACAGAGAACAGTGTTCGACCGTGTCATGGAGGCAGTCGATGACAAC